GTTTGGAGTTAAACATGAACGAACGGTGCCGTACACCCCGCAACAAAACGGTGGTGCGGAGCGAGAAATGCGAACAGTGATGGAACTAGCGCGCACAATGCTTTACGCAAAAGAAATGCAGCTTAAATTTTGGGCAGAAGCCGTCAATACGGTAGTATACGTTTTAAATCGTACTGGAACCAGTACGGTGGCGCTAAAAACTCCACATGAGTTATGGTATGGGGAGCCAGCAAAATTTAAGCATTTGCGAAGTTTTGGTGAAGAAGTTTATGTACATATACCTAAAGAAAAGCGGCGCAAGTTGGATGCTAAATCGTGGAAAGGAATTTTCATCGGCTATGCTGACAACCACAAAGCATTTAGAGTTTGGAACCCAGAACATCGAAAAGTTGAAATTTCGTGTGATGTGCAGTTTCTTCCAGAGGCAGTGACTTTGAAATTGCAAACAGATGGATCGCAAGAACAATGTTTTGAAAACTTGCATGATGTTGTGAAGTGTGAAGAAGAGGAAGATAAGCGAGATGACGATGTTGAGTTTGTTGACGACGACGTATTTTATGACACGGTAAATGAAAACAACTACAAAAATAACAACGATGAGAGCTGCATAGCTCGTCGTCTACGCAGCAGAACAACTTCACAACATACAGCGGCTATTGTGATATGCGAGGAGCCGAAATCATATGCAGAGGCTATGCAGTCGGACGATTGCGGAAAATGGAAGCAAGCTATGGATGACGAATTCGACTCATTGATCGAAAATGGAACGTGGACACTGGTTGAAAGACCGCCAGGTCAGAAAATCATTGATAACAAATGGGTTTATAAGCTCAAACAAGATGCCGAAGGAAAAGTTGACCGCTATAAAGCGCGTTTGGTTGCGAGGGGTTTTACCCAAGTGCATGGCGTTGACTACGAGGAAACTTTTAGTCCAGTGGCGAGATTTACTTCGATTCGTTGCATTTTGGCTATGGCAGCAGTTCGTAAAATGCATCTTATGCAATTTGACGTAAAGACGGCATTTTTATACGGCGATCTTAGCGAGAATGTTTTTATGCAGCAGCCGAAGGGGTATGACGACGGAAGTGGTCGTGTATGCAAACTGGTGAAAAGCTTATACGGGCTTAAGCAAGCATCACGGTGCTGGAATAAGACGTTTACAGATTTTCTTCAACATTTTGGGCTCGAGATGTCAAAGCACGATTCATGTGTTTTTACGCGCAACACTAAAGATGGGTGTTTGATTTTGGCTATCTACATTGATGATGGTCTAGTTGCAGCAACAAATAGTGAGCTCATTACGGGGCTCATGAAACATCTACAGGAAGAGTTTAAAGTAAAATTCTTCGCAGCAAAGTTATTTTTAGGACTTGAAATTCAGCGTGACGCTGATGGTTCAATTTTCATTGGTCAAAAGGCTTATGCCAATAAGGTAATTGCTAGGTTTAATATGCAAAATTCTTCTATTGCAGTCACACCTGCTGACAGTTCCAACAATTTGAGTGATTTTGGCAAAAATGATGGTGATCCGATAAAGTTTCCCTACAGAGAGGCAGTTGGTAGTCTTATGTATCTGGCGGTGGCTACAAGGCCGGATATAGCCTTTGCCGTGTCAAATGTGAGTCGGTACCTTGAAAAGCCGGCGGCAGCGCACATTAAAGCAGTGAAGCGAATATTGCGGTACCTCAATGGCACGACGAGCATGGGTATCTTTTACAACAGCAACAGTGACCTTGAATTACGTGGTTACAGTGATGCAGACTACGCTGGTGATGTCCAGACACGAAAGTCAACATCAGGTTTTGTGTTCATGGTCGGCGATGGCATAGTGAGCTGGTGCTCAGAACGGCAGAAGTGTGTATCTCTATCGACTACAGAAGCCGAGTACATTGCTGCTTCTTGTGCAGTAAAAGAGCTGGTGTGGCTCAGGCGCTTTTGGCTTGGTCTTGGTGGTCCCGATATGACGGTATTTTGTGTTGACAACCAAAGCGCCATTCGACTTATAAAGAATCCCGAGTTTCACAAAAGAACGAAACATATTGATGTGCGCTACCACTACATTCGCGATAAGTATGAGGAGAATATTTTTGCACTACAATATGTTTCCTCAACTGATCAACTGGCGGACGGTCTAACAAAGGCGCTTCCAAAAGTTAAATTTTTTCATTTTAGAGACCAATTAGGTTTAAAACTCATGTATTAGCTGATTAGGTTTTGTAAATATGAAATGTAACTAAAAAGTGGGAGTGTTGAAATAATTTGTATATTTTAGTTACATGGTAACCCTATTTTATTTATATAGACCTTCTGTCACATTTCACTCATCCAGTCACTTCTAAAAACTTCCTTTTGCAAGCAGGCTTTGCGGATCTGATTACATTTGTTATTTCTAAATAAAAACTGAATTGCTTTGTACATATCAAAATAACGCGTTTTGTTTAAACACGTTAACGTGCTGAAAGACAAACTGAAAAAAGTCAACAACATGCTCAAAGTCATTTGTTCTAAAAGAAAAGGTCCGCACATAGAAACTGCCATTGCCATCTGTCGCACACTCACCGAAGGCGTACTACAACACTGTATAACGCTCTACGGCTGGACATCCAAAAGAAACATCAAAGCCCTCAACACCGAAATCTACAATTGCTACAGAATAGCCACCGGCTTACTGAAAGCAACTCCCATACCTGCTCTAAAAATAGAAGCGCGAATTCGAGATTTTGAAAATTTACTGTTCAAAAGTTCCTCCAAACTAGCGGCTAAGTCCATCACGGATAACAAACATCCCCTTCACAACATGGTATGGAACCTCATCGACACAACAGAACGTAGGAGGGCACCCGCCCACAAAACGAGCAGTTTAAAAAGAATAATCATGATGTTACATGACACACATATACCTATTCCAAGCAAACCGCCACTGAGCAAGGAAAACATAACTAATCTTATCACAGTAGACACATCACTTAACACAACCAAAAAGAAATCAACTTGTCAACAAGCATACATACAAGGATTGTTGGAAATCACCAACGAGACAGACCCCCAACTTCTCCTTTTCACAGACGGATCGGTAAATTTTAGCACACCCTCATACGCTGTAGTATCGCAAACAGCAGGCAATCAATTTGCAGTTATCCATCAAGCTCTGTTACCAATGCACACAGGTATTTTTTGCGCCGAACTAACAGCGATCAAGAAAGCAATATCACTTGCTGCACAACTAAAAAAGAAAACCCTTATTTGCTCAGACAGTCTCAGCGCCCTTAATGCAATATCAGATGAACGTAATGAAGCTCACCTCTTTGTGTCAGATGCCAGTCTACAGCAACCTATTAGACTTCTATGGGTACCCGGGCACACCGGAATAGAAGGCAATGTAAGGGCGGATCAAGCGGCCAAAGAATGCTTTTCGCTACCTCTAATAACAGAAGTCCCAATCCACTCAAGTGTCATAACAAGAACGACAAAAGCGGTGCAGATGGAAGCCGAACTGAAAATCGCAGCCGACCTCAGAACCTTCCTACACAGGCATAATTTCGATATCCCTAGACATAATTACGACACACAACTCACTCGTAATCAATGCATTAAGTTAGCCAGGCTTCGGACAGGCACTACACTCTTTAACACATCACACCTTTTCACAAAAACACACCCACGAACATGTTCTTTTTGTGCAACATCCCTCACAATAGAGCATGTATTAACAACCTGCCCTCACTCGTTATTAAAAAAAAGCATCAAGGAAATACTGAATTGCAGGAACAGCAACATTAAAGAAATAGAGGAAGCACTCCGTATACACCACCTCAATGAAGAAACTTAATACAATACACATATGTATTCTAAGGCACTCAATGACCTAGACGTCCGGTGCCTATATCATATTTTGCAAATTCATTTGCAATCTATGCTAAATAAATAAATAAATAAATAAATAAAAATAATAGACAAAGAAAAGAGGGAGAGAACAAGATTCACGTTGGAAAGCTTACGGATATTACAGAAGAGGGACAAGACAGGGAACAAAAAGGAAGACACGGATGACATCGCGACTGCTTATTTATCATGTTTATAGCTAAAATCAACAGTATGACAAGTTTACCTCACGACGTTGGTATCGATGCGGACCAATTAGTTTAAGTTTTTATGTTATTTATTTGTTTATATATGTACGTGAATTTTGAAACTCGTGTTCATATGTAAGTGCAAAATTTTAAAAATCCTTTAAAAATCTGTGATTGATTTTTATTATTGTTTGTAGAACTGTTCACACATTTTTTATGTCATTACTAATTTTAAATTGTATGTCTATTTATATGTATGTTGATGAGAATATAAAAGGAGAATAAAACACCCCTGAAGATGCTAAGGATTTTAGCGAAACGTCGGGAAAAAACAGTGTTTTCTTGCACATAAAAGGGATCAATAAGCCTATGAAATACCTAAAAAAATATACCAAAAATTGATCATCAACTAATAATCAAATGGTATAATCTCGGAAGGCCTGCCGAATTATATATTTTTTCTTTTTATTAAACATCAACGAAGAATCACAACAACAAACATGAAGGACTTCTACAAACATATGAAGTACAAACACGGCGAACACACATGCATGACACTGAAACGTTACAGTAAACTAAAACAGAAGTTAACCAAACAGATGGCGCAACTTAAGTTCTTATTAGAATGCAGGAAATATAACCTACTGCCAAATCACTTGACAAATGCAATCAAGAAGGTTAATATAAACACCACATCCCACAAACTAAAAGCACAAACCGAAAAACCAAAACTACTTTTTTTTAAAGAAAATACTCAATATAGAAATCACACAAACAAACATGAATATTAAGACTTCAAAGACCCATCTACATCACGCGCAACAACAACTTAAACACAGCATAAGCAAAATAGAACTGGATTCCTTTATCTGCAAGCAAGACTGCCTCAGCCAGAGAATTAAAAAAGAACGCGAAACAATACAAACATCGAGAGACTAAAATACCAACAAATGCAGAACCTGGGAATAGATTTAAACAACGATAGGTTTGTAAACAAAACGGACATAGATTTCCCAGTAGAAACAAAATGGCTGCTGTCATTAGGCAGGAAATTCACACTGCCCACAACGAAGACTAGTTTCCAACCGATCCGAATGATTGCAGAAATTGAACAAATCATACAACAAGAAAAGGATGACAGAGTCAAGGAAATTGCAAGATGCAAACTCAGCAATAATATAATACAATTTAAACGGAATATAAGGCACAACTCAGCAGAAAAATTTATATTAGAAACATTCAATAAGACCAAAACTTTCTTAAAGTCGCACAAAGACGATATTATCTTAACAGACGCAGATAAGGGAAACAAAACAGTGGTAATGTACAAAGAGGACTACACAGAAAAGATGAACAAACTACTTGATGACAAAAACACGTATAAAATAGTAAGAAACGATCCAACAAATGCACTACAGAGGAAGAACAACACTCTGGTTGACGAATTGTACAAAAGCAAAATTATTGACTACAGAGGTAAACAACAACTCGTATGCACAGCAGCGATTGCACCACGACTTTACGGATTACCAAAGATCCACAAACCTGACTTGCCCTTAAGGCCAATTTGTTCGTCCATCAATGTTCCGTGTTATGGTTTGTCCAAATATGTAGGTAAGATTCTCAGTAATCTCATCTCTGAGGAATACAATATAAAAAATGCGTTCAGATTAAAAGATAAACNCTGGTTTGTCCAAATATGTAGGTCAGATTCTCAGTAATCTCATCTCTGAGGAATACAATATAAAAAATGCGTTCAGATTAAAAGATAAACTGGATAAAGTAAAAGTAAGTGAGGAAGAATTGCTGGTGTCTTTTGATGTGGTATCGTTGTTTACCAACATTCCGATACCCTTAGCCATTAATATCATAATGTCAAAATGGAGCACAATAAAACAGTCGACGAACATCCCCAAAAACAAATTTCTAAATATCCTTAATTTCTGCCTGAAGGATAATAATTATTTCGCGTGCAACGAAAAATTCTACATTCANGGCAAAGAAAAATTCTACATTCAAACCTTTGGAATGCCAATGGGAAACCCTCTCTCACCCACTATTGCTGACATTATAATGGACGATTTACTGAACGCAACTATGATAGAACTTAAAGAAATCTATAAAATTGATATACAATTTATAGTAAAATATGTGGATGACATTTTTGCCATAGTTAAACGAAAGGATGTGGACATTATATTGAAAACACTCAACAAATATCATCGAAAATTGCAGTTCACAATAGAAACAGAGGCAAATTTCCGGATCCCATTTTTAGACGTTATGATCCATAGAAGAAATGACTCTTTAATACTTGACTGGTATTCGAAACCTACATCCTCGGGACGTTTAATAAATTATTTGTCGTCACAACCCTCTAAGTACAAAATTAATACTGCTAAGAACTTAATTAATAAGATACTAAAAATAAGCCATCAACAATTTCATGACACAAATATAAAGAAAATATTCAACATTCTTAGAAGTAACAACTACCCGGAGCACATAATTCATAGCCTAGTTAAACAAATAACAACACAAATTAATGACAAACGCAATAACCCTACGATCACAACAACTAATAATGAGACAAAACGCTACTACAGTGTAACATACGTACCTAGACTCAGCGAAAAAATTGATCGCAAGAAATACACTAACAACCAAAATACAATACTAGCATACCGATCAAATCACACGTTGTCTTCAGTAATTACCAAAACATAGAGCCGCACCAACAAAATAACGTAGTGTACGAAATAACATGCGAAGGAAGTGAAAACGAAAAGTGTAATAAAATTTACATTGGAACGACAAAAAGTCCGCGTGCAGTTCGCTTATCGGAGCATGAAGCGGACATCAAGAAGAACAAGAGCAACACGGCACTATCACAACACATATCAGCAAGCGGACACACAGCTGATCTAACTAAAACGAAAATAATAGACAAAGAAAAGAGGGAGAGAACAAGATTCACGTTGGAAAGCTTACGGATATTACAGAAGAGGGACAAGACAATGAACAAAAAGGAAGACACGGATGACATCGCGACTGCTTATTTATTATGTTTACAGCTAAAATCAACAGTATGACAAGTATACCACATGACGTTGGTATCGATGCGGACCAATTAGTTTAAGTTTTTATGTTATTTATTTGTTTATATATGTACGTGAATTTTGAAACTCGTGTTCATATGTAAGTGCAAAATTTTAAAAATCCTTTAAAAATCTGTGATTGTTTTTTATTATTGTTTGTAGAACTGTTCACATATTTTTTATGTCATTAATAATTTTAAATTGTATGTCTATTTATATGTATGTTGATGTTAATATAAAAGGAGAATAAAACACCCCTGAAGATGCTAAGGATTTTAGCGAAACGTCGGGTAAAAACGTGAAGAACAGTGTTTTCTTGCACATAAAAGGGATCAATAAGCCTTTGTGAATATTCGTTACTAAAAGATAAATACCAATGAAGCATATGTGATTTATGTTTAAAGTTTAAAATTGGATTAATAATTAAGAAATATACACTCTTCGTTATTTGAATAGCGCATCCTTTTAATACTTAGTAGGTACAGTTTTCCTTTTGGTTGCTTAATATTCATTAACTTTTTATAAAAATATAGCATATTCTACGTCTACATCCCATTTAAAAAATTTTTGAAAATTAAAAAAAAAAATAAACATAGGCGCGACAATTTTTTTTGTTCACGGTGCTGAGCATTTTATTCCATTTAAAAATTTTGTTAAGCATACTTTATATGGTAGAAAATCCAAAAAATGGCGTGCTATTCAAATGACGAGGAATGTATATATGTAGTATATTTTTGTTATTTTTATACTACGCAATTATATGTAGGTAAATTTTTTGAAAAATTGTCCTGCATTTTCAAAATATATTTATGGTCACCGTAGTTATAGGACACAAATCTAAATTAAGCCTAGATAACAAAATGTCGCTTTTTAGTACGATGATTAAACCATGTTGGGCATATGGAATCGGGCTTTGGGGCACAGCGTGCAATTCTATTTTGAACAGACTTCAAAGACTGCAGTCACTAATTTTACGCGCCATATGCGGAGCACCACGGTACATAAAAAATACGAATATCCACAAAGATCTTAATGTAAATACGGTGCATAAGGACATAAGAGGGCTAAGCACCAGTTACTCAGCACGGTTAATGAACCATCCAAATAGACTAGCGAGAGATCTTCTTAGCCCGAGATATGCAAGAAGACTGAAAAGATAGGATTTCTCCGATATTATCGAATGATGCGCAATATAATAAATTTCGATATCCGTAATATATCAATTTCGGCTCTGGAACTCGTCCCTTCAGACCGACTACCCAACACCAGTGTCAGTGCGGCTCGGAAACTTGTCCTTTATGACCGAACACAGCCTACTGGATTGTAATTACTTAAATATTGAGAAGCGAAGGCGTGGCGTGGAAACTAGTCCTTTCCACCCGCCCAGGCAGTGCGGCTCTGGAACTCGTCCCTTCAGACCGACTACCCAACACCAGTGTCAGTGCGGCTCGGAAACTTGTCCTTTATGACCGAACACAGCCTACTGGATTGTAATTACTTAAATATTGAGAAGCGAAGGCGTGGCGTGGAAACTAGTCCTTTCCACCCGCCCAGGCAGTGCGGCTCTGGAACTCGTCCCTTCAGACCGACTACCCAACACCAGTGTCAGTGCGGCTCGGAAACTTGTCCTTTATGACCGAACACAGCCTACTGGATTGTAATTACTTAAATATTGAGAAGCGAAGGCGTGGCGTGGAAACTAGTCCTTTCCACCCGCCCAGGCAGTGCGGCTCTGGAACTTGTCCTTTCAGACCGCCTGTATTGTCGGCAAAGATCGGCGGAAGTATTTTTGGGCAGAACTTTTTTCGGTGTAGGCGGCCTTCGGCCGCGCTTAGAGATTATAGCCCTTACTGAGTAGAATTGCCCCTTCTCTGTATTGCCGAAAAAAAAAACGGCGGAAGTATTTTAGCGCCGAACTTCTTTCTGCGTAGGCGGCCTTCGACCGCACTTAGGGATTGTAACCTTTGCTAAGTTGAATTTTCTCTTCTGTGTTGCCGGAAAAGACCGCCGGAAGTATTTTTGCGCATAAGATTATAACCCTTACTAAGTATAATTCTCTTTTCTGTGTTGTCGGCAAAGATCGGCGGAAGAATTTTAGCGCCGAACTTCTTTCTGCGTAGGGGGCCTTCGGCCGCGCTTAAGGATTATAACCCTTGCTAAGTTGAATTCTCTGTTGCAGGAAAAGATCGGCGGACGTATTTTTGCGCAGAAATTCTCTCTGCGTAGGCGGCTTTCGGCCGCGCTTAGGCATGATAACCCTTACTAAGTAGAATTGCCCTTTCTATGTTGCCGGAAAAGAGCGGCGGAATTAATTTTACGAAGAACTTCTTTCAGCGTAGACGGCCTTTGGTCGCGCATAGGGATTATAACCCTAACTAAGTAGATTTATCGTTTCTGTGTGGCCTGTGAAGATGGTGGGAAGTATTTTTGCGCAGAACTCCTTTCTGCGTAGGCGGCCTTCGGCGAATTTGTATTCCCAATTTCCATATAAATTATAAGTTTATACTAAAAAACGCCGCTGGAGAAATATATTCAAATATAGTGTTTGAAAAGGGCCGCAGGCGAAAATTTGAAATAACAATTGGCGCGATTTTTGTTCCAAATTTTCACAAAATTCATATTAAATTACTGTTTTGTTTATACTAAAAAAGGGCGAAACTTAATATCCATACTTTCCGATTTTTAAGCTCAAAAAAAAAAATACGGGAAATACTTTTAACTATTTCTTTCGATTACAAAGAATGCGTGTCAATTACTTTAAATTTTCTTGAAGAAATATTTACATACATATGTATCTCTAGACCAAAAAGTTTTATTATAAAATTTCTTTTTCTTTGTATATATCTCTAGACCAAAAAATTTTAAGAGAACATTTCTTTTTCATTTATTGAGCGTGTTTTTATATGCCTTCTCTCTTTAGATCTGGAAACTATGTTTTAGGCTCAAAAGTGACGTTATCCCAATTTGGGTTTGACACCTTATATGAAGTGACATAACCCCAAGTAAAAAAATTTGCTTTCTGTCACTGTATAAGGAGTGACATACATAATTCCAAATTTTAAAATTGGAGTTTTGCTACTTGTGGTTATGTCATGGTACCGAAAAAATTAGGTGTTATCAAATTAAACAATTATAAATACTTTATGACATCCACAAGAATATTTTGGTTCAAGTCGCGTTTAATCGTGAGCTAGACCGCGATGAAAATGTATATAAATACCAATTTTTTACTGAAGAAAATTTGAATTGCAAAGTTTTCCGTCCAGTAAATGACCTCACATAATAGAAAAAATTTAAGCCTAAGAGTTTTACACCAAATGTACAGACATATTTAAAATAATAATATGTTTAATAGAATTTTATATTTTTTTAATTCAGTTGCCATGAAAATTGGAATAACTCAGCTTATTCCCAATACATCCTTCTTTCCAAGGTATCATTGAAAAGGTAAACACTCCTCCTTTTGATTTTTAAATTACAAATTATTCCCATGCCATAAGTTGGAATTATATTAAATAAGTGCATTCTGGTTTACTTGACGAACATGTTTCAGGGATTTTGAAACGAGGATATGATGGGGCAAACCTAGCGGAATATGTACAAAAAAGTAGTCAAAAGTACCCAAATTCCTCACTATTTTCAGTCACGCTAAAATCGCGCAATATTGGTGTTTATTTTTAAATTTTTTCGCCATTTGTTTTCAATTCTCTGAGACATTAGTTGGACCTTTGTTGGAAATAAAGTAAAACTCAGATTTTGATATTATTTTCCATTTAAAAATGAAATAAAGCCAATTTTTTTGCA